AGAACTGATAACGTCCAAAAGGATTGTGAAAAATTATATTAGTGTAAAATGAAGGCCTCCAGACTTCCTGAATCCAGAAAGACCCGAAATGAACTTGCACTGTCCTCCTCGTCTCTGCCTGTCCCTTCAAACTGGCCCTACACTCAGCACCCAAACAGAGCTTATTACTTCACGAAAATATTTCTCTGTTGTATAATTCTGTTCTTTTCTAAATGGGAAGTACATTTAAGGAAAATGCTCTAAGAAGTTACAGTTAAAAGAAATATAGTTGATGTTTCCTTTAAGTTCAGATTTATTCTAGAGAAAAACATACGAACTTTCCAAACATTTCTAATTCTTTCTAAGTAGACATCATACTTGGTGCCATGAAAAAATGGATTGCATTAGAGAAAAGACAGAAAAACTATGTACTAGGACTGTATCCAACCCCACCTGTCATAAAGATGTGCAGTAGTAGAGGACTGAAAAAGGAGGGTGGTACTTGCTTCTGTTTATTTCTTTTGTTTAAAACAAGTTAGAATTCTGTACACTCAAAAATAAGACAAACAAGATATACCATGGTCTCATGCCTTCCTATGGTCTTCCTGAAGCAAAAGAAAATATTTGGAAATTGAATCTAATGGGAGGGTTTTTTTTTTTTTTTGAAAACCAGTTTTGTATGTTTCAAGCTTTCAAAGGAAAACAGAACTTAGGAATTTTCAGGGGCTGTTTTAAGACAATTGGAAAGTTACCAAGACTGGCCATCAATGCAAATCCCAGGCAGGAAGTACTAAAGAAAATCTAACCTCCTTCCCTCCTTCCGCAAGGTCGAGTTCATATACTTGCCTGAGGAGTAGAGTGAGGGCTTGTTTTGTTTTGCTTTTAAAGGATCTGAAAGTTCACATCTTCAGGAATAGACCCTGTGTCCTCTAGGAACCCCTCTTTCTTTGCCTGCTCTTTACCCCTGCGTTTCCAAGTGTTTATTTTCTATGGCACGCTCAGCCAGCCCCAGCTTGACTCTTAGAGGAGGGCAGCAGACTGGGCTGTGGATGGCAGAAGTTGATGCTGAAGCTAAGTTGGTAAATCACACCTCACACCTGACCCTTCTTCAAGCACATCTCAGAAACTCATCTGAGTGCCATCAGCAGGAAAACCAAGAGACGGTCTGTGAGTCTGACCCCTCTCTTCCTTCAAGAACTTCTTGAAATGGGGAGCCACATAGTCAAAGAGAGGAAGCGTGTTCTGTTACTGGGCTGGTAGGGGAGTGTATGAGCTGGGAAAGGAAAGAAGGGACAAATGCTGGGGGTCAGGGTGAGGTTTCTGAAGCCTTTCAAATATCACATAAGAAATACCTATTTCTTGACCATAAATAGCTATTCACCAGTGAGCACGTTTGACCTTTCTTAGCTTTCCTCTTGACTAGTTTGTTTATTTATTTCAAGAAATACCCCCACCCAAGTGTCTCAAATTCACAGTGAAATTACTTGGAGTCTCAGAATCCAACATCAACAGGTGGATTCTCTGAATACTTGTAAAATAAGACGTTATAATGAACCAACTGTCATTTTATATTTTGTCCTTAAGATAATGTGCTGTTTTCAGATCTCATTTCTCTCGAGTTATTGATTAGTTTAAAGCACGTCCAAGCAACAATTTGCTTTGAGAAACTTTATTTTAGTCCAATCCCCTCTCTTATTGAAATATTATAACATGTCACTAGGCTTTTTCTTCATGCCATACCCAAAATCATCCTTCTCCTTGAGGTTGCTTTTTTAGGCAGAAAAAAAAAAAAAAAAAAAAAAAAAAAAACCTTAATCCAAAAGAAACTCATGCAGAAAATATTTTGAGACTTGAGGTGCACGCAGAAGAGGGGTGACACAGGATCACTGATACAAATTACAGCTACCTGAGCCTCATGTCATTTAATACATTCTAGTTCATGTATTTTATGCTATCTAATAGTTTGTATGCTATTTACTGTGCATTTTTCTCACACAAAATATTTTGATCTTCTGAAAAATTTTTCAAGGAGGTGAAACATAAATAGTCCATTTCTAATTATTTTTAAAAGTTGAAAGTTTGGTTCTTGCACAATAGAAAAAGAGATGGCAGGGAAATGTCATAATTTCTTTTAAACTATAGTATATATTTGAAGAAATGAAAATACACGCCTTCATTTTTAAAATATAATTTTATGCTGTTTTGTCATAAGAACTTAGAAACTGTTTTTAATGCTACACTATTTAAAGAGAAAGCAAATGTTTGATTTTCGCATTTTCTGAAAATTATAATAAACAGTTTGATTTGTTTAAAGTCCTACAAGAATTACACACCCACCCCCCCACACACATACACACACAAATCAATCATATATCACACATACATACATATTACATATGCAAAACCACATAGTTAGAAATGCTAGAAAATTTGTCTGTGTATTAGAAAGAAAGAGAAACATTTAACTTTAGGCAACACTTTAAGGCATGATATCCCCAGAATGTGATTTTTCGCTACCATAGAATTCTAGTTCTATCAAACATAAATATTCTTTACATGTGAATTTCCTTTTAAAGAACTGTGACGTTTGAAGTCGGGTTACAACTAGAAACCAAAGCTAGTACAGAGGATTTTTGTGGATTCCATCAAGGCTCGCCAAATAAACATAAGCATCACTTCCTTCCTTTTTAACGCATTAGGAATGATATTTTGAGCTATGTGTAGAGAGGGTGAAAGGTCATGTGGAAATAGCATTTTATTTATCCACACATTGGAGTAACACTGTCAGAAAGTCCCCACATGGTAAAATAGACTTGCATATTGACACTTCCTGTGAATCCAAGTTTTGAAACGGGCAGATTTTCCCATCTCCAGTTTCCAGGGTTGTTATTATTGTCTGTCATTCCAAAGGGGCACTATAGCAATACGTGACAACTCCACAGCAATGCAGACATGCTATAATGTAATAGTCAATGTGAGCTACCATGATCTCTAAAGTAGCTGATCTCACAGTCCCTCTCGAGCCTGATCTGATTACCCGAATATCAGCTTAGAACACCTAATGGAGCTAACTTCTTAAAAATGTTCCAGACGTTGATGGCTTTGGCTAACTTGAAAGTAACAAGATCCAGATGACGCGGGTGTCCAGGACACTAAACAACACAGGACCCCAGAACAGTCTTGAAAAACCTCCCTCTGAATTCTTCAGACTCTCTCCTCTTTCCCTCACCTCTCCATTCTCCTGCTTTACCACTACCACTACACACACACACACACACACACACACACACACACACTTTCTACCAGGGTGGCTTACCCAGCACCCTGTATCTTTGATGTACTGTGCACAGCATTATTTCCTGATAACAATAGGTTAAAATAAATCTCTAGAAGAACAATAACAACAACAAATTATTTCATTCACTTCAATCAAAAGTTTTACTTGTGATTATTCACAGTAGTGGAAATCTAGGACCAACACAAAGCACGATTTTTGGAACATTTGGAAAATTTAGCCAAATGAGTAAAAGAGGTGGAATGTATGATATTTTTCAGGCCAACCCATGAGCTTATTGTTTATGTTTCTTTGGAGAGGGGAGAAGGACTGTGAGTATTCTTGTATTTTTTTTTTTTAACTTGCCCTTGCCTGACCATTTCTTTAAGAAAATTAGCAGGCAACATTCCCTGCCCAGTCACCCAAAGAGTTAAAACTCAGGACACCAGGCAGGAGGGCTGGTATATGTAAGCAGTAGCACAAACTAAATGCTCACAAAGGCGATGTGAGTCGACCTTGGAGGGGCAGGGCAGATCACAGAGCCTTTGCAAACAAGAAAGGAAATAGGGAAAAAAAAAAAAAGAAGGAACAACATTTAAGGCTGTCCTGAGACACTGCTGCCCAGTCTGGCTCTCAGATGGGCATTGTCCGATGAGACAGAATCAATGAGCGATAACTACAGCACGAATTACCAAACCCTAATCACACCAGCAAGCTCTGGCGACAGCACACATCACTTAGGCACTCCTTGCTCATGTCTGCATATTTGATTATTAAGATGGTGGGGTCTGGTTATCGCAGCACAAAATCAGATTATCCTAGTGTGCAAGGTGGTTACTCCACGAATATTTTCCCCCTCAAACCAAGTCGATCAGAATTGACAAATTGGAACAGTGCCTTCACACTGTAGAATCTTTGATGTCTCAACTGCAGGATAAAGTTCAGGGTTGACACTGCCCTCTGCTTAGTTCTGTGGGCTTGTCTCTGGGCCCCTAATGATCATTTAAGCACATGCACACACAAAGCCCAAAGTCTTTAACCAATTCAAGTCCAATTATTGTCAGTTACAGTCCTTGCCTTTTCAAGATGCAGGCAGTGCACACCCGGGAAATAAAAGCAGCGCCCAAGTAAAGACTATTGATTGCAATCTCCAAGTTCTTTCAGTCCCTAACACCTCAGTCATCTCTCCTATAAAATAGAGACAACCAAAAATGAGAACATACCCAAACAAACTCTAAGAGACTTGAGTGGGTGCCCTGGACTTCCCCAAACCCTTCTTTCATGCTGCACTAGGCCAAGAAAAGTTTGAGTCTCCCCCGACCCTGGTGTGTCTCCTGTAATGGAGAAAAAGAAAACGCAAAACATCTCTGAGACCCGCACACAAAGAACAGCTCACTAGAAAAGCTCAGGAGTTTATATTCTTGTCTCGGAGAGTCCCTGTGGGGACCTCCTTTCTACAAACCCAGCCCACCTGCAAAAGACTTTCACCCTCTCAGGAGCATGTGTACTGCTAAATAACAAAAGAACTCCATTGAAACTATCATCTGTCTTTAAAGAGAAAGCCACCATTCCAAGCGTCCTTCTTTTCCCTTCTTCCTCTGTCTCATTCACTCTCTTGATACTGTTACTCATTTCAAAGAGGTCGCCAGAGGTGACGGGGGTGAGGGGTAGAGAAAGGTCCCCATCCTATCCCAGCGAAGAAAAGACAGACACCGCTCTACCTTTGCCAACCGGTGTCGACCCATACCTTGGTTTGGAGATACTGGGGATAGTAGTACGTGTACTGGGGGTACATCTGTGGTTGATCCAGGCGTTTGCCCATGTAGCTGGAATCTTTATCTCGGAGGCAGGAAACTGGGTAACAGGGTATACAGTGCCCCAGGCCAAGCTTCCTTCTCTTTAATCCAGGGTTCGCGACAGTCTGGGATGTCTAATGAGACTCCACCACTCGCTAGTTCCAACACGGATGAATTGAAAACAAAACCAAAACAAAGCAAAACAAAAACACCAAAGGAATAAAAGAAGAATTAAAAATAAGGATGGGGGGGTGAGATCCGTGGAGAAACCCCCAGGCGGCTTCCCAGGATCTGCCTGGTTCCTCCCGGCTGCCCGGTGCACTTGGGATGAAGCAGTGTGCTCTCTAACCAGCCTGTCTCTAGCGGTGTCAATTGCCGGCGCTTGTGAAGGGGAAGGAGAAAAAAAAAAAAAATCTGTTAGCACAACTCGGAATCCTTGTAGTTCAGTTTTCAGTCTCCTCCTGTGTGCCTCTTTCCCCGCCGTAAGAAAAAAGAATTTTTTAAAAAAGAAAAAGAAACAAAAGGAAAAAGAAAAAGAAAAAGAAAAGAAACAAAAGGAAAACAAAAAGAAAAAAGAAAAAAAAAGAAAAGAAAAGAAAAAGAACCCGGCGCAAGCTTAGTTTCTGCTGTCTGGCTCCCAGAGTGACATGGTGTTGGGGTAGTCCGCCCTTTTCATTCACTTCCCCTCCTTCCAGCCAGTGGGTGGAACCGAGAGAGCCTCTCCAGGGAGCAGCTTACGCAGTCCAGAAGGCTGCAGTATTTCCTCCAAGAAAAAAAAAAAAAAAAAAAAAAAAAAAAAAAAGGCTGCTGCCACCCGTGCTGCAAGCAAAGTTCCGATTCCCTCTGCTGGCTAGCTGGAATAGGAGGAGATCGAACGGCGTCTGCAGCCGAGCAGCCCGCGGAACCGAACCCGAGCGTCCCTGCGCGGCGCCCGGGTGGGGCGCGGCCCCATCCCTCCCTGCCCTGCACCGACAGCGCTGCCCGCTGCCTTCTCTCCAATCGCCAAGTTCCCAGAGGTAAGGCATGACACGGCTGAACAAAACAGCCGAGACCCTGCGAGGGAAGCGAGGAGCAGGGAGGAAGAAGAAAAGAAAAAAGGGGTGGGGGTGGAATTATATATATATATGAGCTAACCTTGCTGGTTAAATAGAAAAATATAAAGTATGCTCAGGGGCTTTTTCAAAACCTGTTAACACACTAAAAGCCCAAGACCTGAAGGAGAAATGAACCTTTTACTTTCTAGAGGACACAGAGGACGCTGAAGTATTGAAGAAATTCCGAGCATCTAGTTTGGTATGTCTGTGCATAAGCCATGCCCCCAGTACATCACGCTGCTCAACTTAATAATCAGAATCTTTCTTATGCTTATATCCGTCTAGTTTTTTAAAAAAATCAAAGCGAGCGATCCTTAGGCTTATTAGCTCCTTGAATAAAATTGCTGCCCTTGCCATTGTCTCTTTTCATGATAATTTTGATTCATGGATCTTTTCCTGGCTTTACCAATATCTCAAAAAGATGAACAAAAATTCACAATTACTTGTCAGAGTCCCCCCTCCCCAGTAATAATATTCTGACATGTCTCTCAGCTGCTACATTAGAATACAGATTGTTTCAGAGAAAATATATTTCCTTAAAGGGTCTCTTTGCAAGGCAGCGGCAAGGCTAAAATTAGCTGTGCCAGCTGTGTTTTGCTGAAGGGCTCACGCATGCCCGGAACGTGGGCAGCCAGGCTCCGAGCGCCCCTGCACTAGCCCAAGTCCGCTGGGTTTTCAAGCCTTCCTTTGAGATAAAAGACTCCTGGTACAAACGCAGTTTCCTCACAAAGAACAAAATTTGGTACACACGATGTTACTTTTGTACAAGTCAGACCACCCTGGGACAACCGCCTCGGCTCAGGGCAGCTTATTTCTGGATTCTGTGTACCAGCAAAGGCACCCTGTGGAGAAAGGTAAGAATGGTGGGTAATTTTATGTTTTACTTTTGTTTTTATTTATTTTATTCTTTGAGACAGGCTCTCATGGATCCCAGGCTAGCCCTGAACTGTCTATGTAACAGGGCATGGTTTTAAACTTGTGATCCTCCTTCCTCCACCTCTCTAGTGCTGGGATCGCAGGCATTGGAGATTGAACCCAGGGCCTTGTCCATACTAAGCAAGCTCTGCCAACCAAGGCACAGTTCCTCAAGTTTTCTACTTTTGTCAGAAAAGGAGGGGAGGTTGGAGAGCAAGCATGAGACACCCCCCTTCCAAACCCCCTCCCCCAAGGGCACTGTAATGAAGAAATTAAATCAGCTCTGCACTTACTTTAAAGGGGCTATTCTGGGTCTCAGCGGCTTATATGTAAAATGGTGAAAGGCTTTAACTAATCAGATAATAAAAACTGCACTGGTTGCAAAATCTTTTGGTGATAACACTTTGCTCAGGGAAATCCTGCTCCTTGGAGTGGTTGTCAAGACCCGAGAGGACCTGGTGGTCCTTTCTTTCTGTTCTAGTGTCAGAGCCCAAATTTTACCCTTGGCCCCTATGGCCTTGCCCTGAGCCCCACTGAGAAGAGCTGAGCTGAGCTGAGGTTGGGAATGTAATAGCCATGATCATCCCCAGTTCTCTACCTCAGCCCTTCCTTCACAGGTTACCCTCCGGAGCAGCTTTCCTTAGAATCCCACCTCCCAGGGTGCCATCTGGATGTATTTCTTCTGTGAACTTCTTAACTCAGAAGAGCAGGTCACATCCTTCACAGCTCAAAAAACTAACAGGGAGTCATGCACAAAGAAAGTGTTCTGTGTGTATTTGAAGAACAAAATATTTTAAGCACGATCGTCACCTAACTCGCAGCATGCTTTTGGTATATTTCATTTTTAAAATTGTTGTAAATGTAATAATGTGTGTATGTCTGAAGAGGTCAGAGGACACCCTGAAGAGTTAGCTCTCTCCCTCTACCATGTGAGTTCCAGTGATTGAACTCAAGTCTTTAGACATGGTGGCAAGAACCTTTACTGGCAGAGCCATCTCATCAGCCTGTGTATTTCCTTCTTTAATGAAACATAGGTCAGGAGTTGAACTAGGCACAGGTGATATGGAGACCACAGAACAAAAAAGGCTCTTCCTTCATAACACGGATGTCCCAGTTGGAGGGAGTATACCAAGGGATAAACACACAGCCCAAGACTATTTTGTGAGGAAATGGAAATCAAAGAGAAACAGTCATGAGGCGTGCACTTGAAAAAGGACCATCAGGAAAATGTTCTCTCTAAAAAAAGTCTAGACGTCAAAGACAGGGTAGGAACTATGTCCTGAGTTTTGGGTGCTGTTGGAGTGTTTAGTGTGAGCAGATTTGACTACCAGTCAGCCCACCTAGGCTCCAGTCATGCCTCCCTCTACTGTCCCTGCCATTTGATGGATTTCTTTTTTCCATCAAATGTTGCTGTCTACTTTGTATAGTTCACATAAGGATCAGCTAAGGTAATCACCAGAAGAATTCAGGATACTTTTAGCATGTCATATCTGCCCCATAAATACTAGCCTGTATCTATGGGTTGGAGAGAGTAAAGCGACTCAATGATAGGGAACAGCAAATACAGAAATCCCACTAAGAAAAGGTGTCCTTGGAATGTGCATCTAGTGCCCTGAGGCTGCCCTGACACCAGGGAAGGATAAAGACCACAAGATGACATCTTAGGCTTGGTGTGATATTGTCAACTTGAGGAGAAGTAGAATCACCTAGGTGACACACTTCTAGTCACATCTGTGAAGATTTTCTAGATTTGGTTAATTGAGGTGGAAAGACCCACCCTAACTACAGGTGGTACCATTCCATGGAATGGAGTCCTGGACTGAATGAAAAAGAAGAAAACAAGCTGAGCCAGCATTCATCTCTCCCTGTTCCTGGTTCATCTCTCCTGTTTCCATTGCAGATGCAATGTGACCAGCTGCCTCACTCCTACCCCGATGCCTCCTCTGCCCAGATTCAATGTGACCAGCTGCCTCACTCCTACCCCGATGCCTTCTCTGTCCTGATGGACTGCACTCTCAAACTGTGACAAAATAAACCCTTCCTCCCTTCATTTACTTTTGTCAGGTATTTTGTTACAGCAATGAGAAGAGTAACTAATGTACTTGGTGAGGACTTGATGTGGAGAGATAAACTGATGACAGTAATACAGCAAGGACTCCATCCAAATCTTCTGACCTGGGATCAAAACACCTTCAACTTTAGATTATTGTCATCTTCCATGACCCACTGAGGTCCTTCAAATCCTAAAACCAAGAAGAGCAGTAGCCTAGATTGTGCTCACTAATTCAGTCACTACAGACAAAGGCTGTGGTATTTTCATATTAATAACTGATTGGGAGATCCCCTGAAGGGAAAAGGATATTGTCTTATTTACAACTGGAAGGCCAAATAAATGACTCTTCAATCAAAGCTACAGCGCACTTATATGTAAAGTTCCCAGCATGTGTGGATGCTATCAGCAATTTCTACACAAATTGCCACTTTCCAAAATGCTATTCTGTTTCATTGGATTATTGTAATGTGCTGGGTATCAATTGTCTTTAGCCTAAGAATCCTCATTGCACATTTAAAGCTTTCCTTAAGTCATGCAGAGTGGGTTTGTAAGAATTATAAAACCTGTGTTGTTCTTTATTCCCCACCCCCTTAGAGACACTAGTAGCCACGACAATTTGGGAGGTAAGATACTCATATCTGAACTCGTTTTATGTCACTTCTCTGTTGGAGTAACGGTGCTTTCTACTTAAATGATCGAGTAAAGGTAGCAGGCAACTGTTTTGAAGTACTCTCTAAATCAGAGGCCAACTGTGCCCCAGTTGCCAATTAACCAACAAATTTCAGGGAAATTCAAGAGCAGCGAATGGCATCAAAAGACATGGGCATTCACAGGTTCATGGCAAACTCAGCCTGGGAACCAGGGAAGACAAACTCTCAACTCCTAAGACTAACCAGCTGCCTACACATCATGGCGGGAAAATGATGGTGCTGAGATGACTGTCAAAGAGGTAGAGAGACATCCTCTTTCGGTTTGACCAGAAGAGAATGCTCTTGACCTATCCACCTAAAGAAAAGCTGGGTCCTCTTGAGTCATTTGTTATTATTTTTAATTGTACAGATTGTGATAGTTAAGTTTCATTGCCTTCTAGAATCACCTAGAAGACAAACCAAGAACAAATGTGACAGTGTTTCTAGATTGGGTTAATTGAGGTGTAAAGGCCTAGCCTAAATTGGCTGCACCATTTCATAGGCTGGAGTCCCAGGCTGAATGAAGAGGAGAAAGGTAACTGAGCATCAATATTCATCTCTCTGTCTCCTTACACAGTGTGACCAACTGCCTGGCACTCCTGCCGCAATGACTTCCCCACCAGGATGGATTATACCCGCGATCAATAAACCTTCCTTCCTCCCTTAAGTTGCTACTGTGAGATATTTTGCCACAGCAGGAAAAAAGGTAACTAATACACAGATTTCGTCAAAGGGAAGCGGCATGAACAGCAAGCACACAAACGGCAAGCACATAGAAAAAACATGGAGTTGTAGTTCTGTAAACCTGGAAAGCAAAAAACGAATTCATCACCAGGAAAGATGTTCAAGGCTTTGAGGTTTTGTTTGGTTTTGATATTTTAAAATGTTGATTCTTCCTGACCTCTTCATGCAAATTGATGAAATCTCTTTTCACATAACTATTGAGATGTTAAATTTGTAAAAGATGTTTTTAAAAAGATAAGATGGTGGACTGTAATTTTTCTAATGTGTGTGTGCATGTGTGTGAGTGTATGTGTGTGTGAGTGTGCATGCGCACATGCATGTTATTGCCCATGGAGTCCAAAAGAGGGAATCAGATCTCCTGGAGCTGGAGTTACAAGCTAATGGGTGCCATCTGTTGTGGATGCTGGGAATTGAAGTTGGGTCCTCAGCAACAGCAGCAAGCACTCTTAAAAACTGAGTTCTCTCTCCAGCTCTGTTTATATTTCCTCCTTCTTTCCTTTTTACTTCTTCTGTGCATGTGTGTGAGTGCGTGCGTGTGAGTGTGTGTGTTTGTGTGTACACTCAGAAGCCAGAAGATGGTATCTGATCTTTTGGAGCTGGAGTGCCAGGCATTTACAAACCACCCAGTGTTTTACATGGGTGCTGGGACTCAAACCTTGGTCCTTAAGATTTCTCGACAAGGGCTATTAACCATTGAGCCATGTCTCTAGCCTGTAGTTTGCAAATTCTTACATGGAGGTAGTGTTACCGCTTTCTTTGCTGTTTTTTTGTTTGGTTTGGTTTGGTTTGGTTTGGTTTGGTTTGGTTTGGTTTGGTTTGGTTTGGTTTGGTTTGGTTTGGTTTGGTTTGGGTTGGTTTGGTTTGGTTGTTGTTATTGTTTTATGAAGCAGGGTCTCACTATGTAGCCCTGACTATCCTGGATCTCACAAAGATATGCTTGCCTATCTGTCCTGAATAGTGGGATTAAAGGCAAGCACCACCATGCACAGCCATTGTTTTTACTTTTACTGGATACTTAGCCATTGGTTTAGAAAAAAATTCCAGACAAAGGAGAAGAATGACAAGTAGTGGCTCTCAAGTTTCAGAACAAAATTGTAATTTCAGGTTTATGAGACAGTTTCTCTGGTAGGAAAGCTAGAAGACCTTACAACAATGAGCATCAACTGTAAAAATGTTTCCTAAGCAATCAAGGGCACTGATCTAAATATTACTCACCTTGTCCTTGAAAAGACTTCATAACTCTGTGTTGGCCAAACTTCAGACAATTATGAATGACTTTCATTTTTTTCATATCCAACAACCAACTTAGTTATTGGCTAGTTTTCATATTTACTCAGAACTCTGAAATACATACTTTATTACGGTTTTATGTCACAGCGTCCATGAACACCACTTACTTTGCTTTTGTTACTCTGGTGAAATGGCTTCTTTCGGTCTCTCTAGCTATTTTTCATCACACTTAATATTTGGGGTCCATACAATTGGGTCTCTTTGACTGCTATAGTTACCATGGTCTGAGCTTCCCTGTGCCATTGAAAGCAGCCCAGTCCTGTGATCTAGTCAGACATTTGCAAAGGGAACAGCAGCTACACATGCCCAAGCTTTTAGCTGCTGGTGTCTGCTGTTTGCTCCCCGGTGGAAGCATGCCCTGATGTGAAAAGAAGGAATCATCTTAGAAGACTGAGGACAGTGACTTTAGAGTTGCATGGAATAGTCACTGACTGGTCATAAACAAAATCAGTCCTCTGGTTTGGTGAGTGGCTCCGGAGATAAAGGTACTTGCCACCATCCCTGATGACCTGAGTTCATCCACCAGGAGGACTCATATGGCCGGTCAAAGGGGAGAATCTAATCTCACAAGTTGTCTACTGACCTTCACATTTACACCATGGCACAAACCCCTCATCAAAAATTAAATAAATGAATAAATAAATAACAAAAGTTTTAAAAATTAAGCCTCTGTTATATTATACTAGTGAAGTCTAGTGATGGTTACTATAGAATATTCTGGACTATCATGCCCAATATAGCATCATTGTATGGTTACAAGATTTGAGCACACATTTTGTTGTTTTTCTTGTTTGAGCATTTATCCCATTAATATCTAAATTTCCAGGACAGGAAATTTAGTTATCCCATTCACATATCACAAAACAGAATAGTTCATGAGATTCCATATATATTTGTTACATAAAGGAATAAAGAAATGAGTGGACCGATCCACCATCCTCTAGAGTGTGGACTAGTGGTTTGTGTACTTACATTCATGAGATCACAGAAGTGAGAACTGGGTATGCACCAAAAGATATTTCCTTGAAGAACTGCTGGAGTGCTGAGCATTCAGAGGGAAAGAATGTTCTACACTATCAGAAATGAGCTATAGGCTGATAATCTGAAAGCATGTGGGGGTGCTTAAGGGGCTGAGTGTGTTTCCACTAGTCCTACACTGAAATTGTAACTTCCGGTGTGATAGTATTGAGACACAGGAACTTCAGGCAACAGGTCGTGAAGATGAAGCTCTCACGGGTAGACTTAGCTCCTGCGTGAGAAGGGATGTGGGAGAGATGATTTTCTGCTCACCATCTAAGCATGCAGGAAGAAGGAAGCAGGAAGCAGGAAGCAGGTTCCCCAGCAGATCCCTGATCTACCCCATGACCTTGAGCTTCTCAACCTCTGTAAATGAGGAATGATTATTTGCTGTTTAAGCCATACAGCTTATGTGTGGAGGTATTATGTGACAATTTCCTCCAAATTGAAACTTTCCATCCTGGAAAGAAGTTCTTTAAGACTCAAGAAGTTCTAAAGGGAGGCTCCTGAAGGCTTAGGCACTCAACAACTCACAATTGTCAGGAAGTCTCTGAAGCTTACCAAATTCACAAGGCGCCTTCCTCCCCAAGGATATAGAATCAGTAAGTTGGGGTTGGAGAGATGGCTTTGCTACTAAGAGCACCGGCCATTTTTGGAGAAGACCCAGGTTTGAATCCCAGCACCCACATGGTGACTAATTACTGTAACTCCAGTTCCATGGGATCTGACATCCTCTTCTATCCTCCATGGGCATTGCATGATACAGGTGCACTTACCTACATGCAGGCATAATACTCAAACACATAAAAAATTAGAATCAGTAAGGACTGCTGAAGAGAAACTCTCTGAGTGGTGCAAATCCTGCAGATGGCTTTAGGTTTCCAGCTTTAGGAGTCATTACCCATGGACTTTTGGTCATACAGCTGCCTTTGAGTTGGCCATGCTACTGTATTCCCCCACTCATGCTCCTGTGAACAACCTCAATAAACTCATTAATTCACCAAGTTAGACTTTGGTGGTATCTTTACTTTGGTCTGTTTGCAGTTCTCTATCTGGGGTGAGGAGACAGTTGTTCACATCTTCCCAGGAATAGTGTCACAAAACAGGCTATTTGTTGTAACAGCTCAAACTGACTAAGTCTAGGACAAAATGAACAGAAATGTGAGTCTATATATGGTAGATACTGAATTACGGACTTTAAAACTTTTCAAGTTAAAACTCATAATCATCTGGGAAAGGGAGTTTACATTTGAGAAAACTGAGAGGGTGAGCATTTAACCCTGTGCCCAAGTTTACTTGTTTGTATCAAGGTGCAGGATTATTCTTGATTCTTGTTTGTAAGGGCCTCAGATTCAGGCTCTGTCTTCAGCATCATTTGATGAAGAACTTAAAAGCTTTGTTCCCAAGTTGCATGAGACAATCCTAATGTTTAAAATTTGAGTGTAACACAGTATACACAAGTACTGAAAAATCCATTGTGATTTCATAGAGAGAAATTTGAGGAAAAAAAAAGAAAAAGAAAAACCTTGGCCTTCTACCACACTGCATGCACCTTGCTGAGCTCATGAATGTGAGGGTTCATTCCCACATCCTGCCCGGCTATGGCACCCAGTTGTTACGTCCACAGCAGTCTGGATATTGCTGTGAGTCACTTTATAAAGTGCTCTGAGCAATGTTAAATTAGCACACTTTGAATAAAGCCAATAAAGAGATTACCGTTACTAGCAAAAGGGTGGTTCATCTAATTAGATGAAGGCTTGAAAAAAAAGCCTAAATCCTTGAAGGAAGTCCTCTGCCTTAGGAGTCAGACTCCATATCAACTCTAACCCACTCACCTATAGGTTTCTAACTAGGTAGTCCCTACAGTAATTCAATAAATCAATTCCTTAAGATTCTCTCTCTCTCTCTCTCTCTCTCTCTCTCTCTCTCTCTCTCTCTCTCTCTCACTCTCTCTCTCTCTCTCTCTCTCTCTCTCTCCTCTCTCTCCCTCTCCCTCTCTCTCTCCCTCTCTCTCTCTCTCTATCTCTCTCTCCCTCTCTCTCCCTCTGTCCCTCCCTATCTCCCTTTCCCTCTCTCTCCCTCTCTCTCTCCCTCTCCATCTCCCCTCTCCCTCTCTCTCCCTCTCTCTCCCTCTCTCTCCCTCTCTCTCCCTCTCTCTCTCTCTCTCTCTCTCTCTCTCTCTCTCTCTCTCTCTCTCTCTCTCTCTCTCTCTCTCTCTCTCTCTCTCTCTCTCTCTCTCTCTCTCTCTCTCTCTCTCTCTCTCTCTCTCTCTCTCTCTCTCTCTCTCTCTCTCTCTCTCTCTCTCTCTCTCTCTCTCTCTCTCTCTCTCTCTCTCTCTCTCTCTCTCTCTCTCTCTCTCTCTCTCTCTCTCTCTCTCTCTCTCTCTCTCTCTCTCTCTCTCTCTCTCTCTCTCTCTCTCTCTCTCTCTCTCTCTCTCTCTCTCTCTCTCTCTCTCTCTCTCTCTCTCTCTCTCTCTCTCTCTCTCTCTCTCTCTCTCTCTCTCTCTCTCTCTCTCTCTCTCTCTCTCTCTCTCTCTCTCTCTCTCTCTCTCTCTCTCTCTCTCTCTCTCTCTCTCTCTCTCTCTCTCTCTCTCTCTCTCTCTCTCTCTCTCTCTCTCTCTCTCTCTCTCTCTCTCTCTCTCTCTCTCTCTCTCTCTCTCTCTCTCTCTCTCTCTCTCTCTCTCTCTCTCTCTCTCTCTCTCTCTCTCTCTCTCTCTCTCTCTCTCTCTCTCTCTCTCTCTCTCTCTCTCTCTCTCTCTCTCTCTCTCTCTCTCTCTCTCTCTCTCTCTCTCTCTCTCTCTCTCCCTCTCTCTCCCTCCCTCTCCCTCTCTCTCTCTCTCTCTCTCTCTCTCTCACATCTCCCCCTCCATCCTGTTTTGTTCTCTCCCTCCTCCCTTAACCTCTCTCTTTGTCT